TATTCTATTCTATTCTATTCTATTCTATTCTATTCTATTCTATTCTATTCTATTCTATTCTATTCTATTCTATTCTATTCTGTAGTGGGTTTCAATTTTGGCCACTACTGGTTTGGTCATGGGTGCGCTCACGCTATGCTTCTGCGCAGAAGCTTTTGCGCGTGTGCAGAGACGTCCAGGCGGGTGGGTGGAGCCTCTCACCACCGCCGCCGCTACCTGTTCGGCTGATCTGGGGCGAACAGGTAGCCACCCACCATTGATTCCATCCCATCCCATCCCATCCCATCCCATCCCAGCCCAGCCCAGCCCAGCCCACCCTATCCTATCCTACAAATTTACATACCATCCATCTAATGAATACGACCCTTGGCTAAGCGAAGAGTATTTTTTAATGATTCTTCACCAGCTGTGTATTTTCATGCTCTTATTTTTTTTGTACTGTATGTGTGTCGGGGTGTGTGTGGGTGTATATATATATATTTGTTTTTAATGATGTGAGTTGCTCAGAGTCATGTATTTCCTCCCGCGATCTTGTTTAGATTTGGGTTTAATGGCTTTTAATGGTTATTTAAGATGGTTTGAATTGTTGGTTTTATTGTACACTGCCCAGAGTCACATTTGTGAGATGGGTGGCTGTATAAATTTGACAAAGAGATAAATTAAGTGTATTTGAGATGCGTGGCCATAGAAATCAACTAGAATAAGGGGTGGAAGAAAGAGAGGAGGCAAGAAAGAAGAGAAGAAAGAGAGAAGGGAGGAAAGAAGGAAGGGAGAGAGGGAGGGAGGGACGACGGAGGGAGGGAAAGAAGGAAGGAAGGAAAAACAGAGGAGAGAGAACGGGAAGGATGAAGGAAGGCAAGAATGTAGGAAGATAGGAAGGCAGGCAGGCAGGCAGGCAGGAAGGAAGGAAGGAAGGAAAAAGAGAAGGGAGGGAAGAAGGGATGAAAGCAGGCAGGCAGGAAGAAAAAGAGATAAGGTAGAAGGTGGAAGGTAGAGAGGGAGGAAGGAAGGAAAAAGAGAAGGGAGGGAAGAAGGGATGAAAGCAGACAGGCAGGAAGGAAGAGAGATAAGGTGGAAGGAGGGAGAGAGGAAGGAAGGAAGGAAGGAAAAAGAGAAGGGAGGGAAGAAGGGATGAAAGCAGACAGGCAGGAAGAAAAAAGATAAGGTGGAAGGAGGGAGAGGGGAAGGAAGGAAGGAAGGAAAAAGAGAAGGGAGGGAAGGGGGAATGAAGGCAGGCAGGCAGGCAGGAAGGAAAAGAGATAAGGTGGAAGGATGGAGGAAGGAAGGAAGGAAAGAAGGAAAAAGAGAAGGGAGGGAAGGGGGAATGAAGGCAGGCAGGCAGGAAGGAAAAAAGATAAGGTGGAAGGAGGGAGAGAGGAAGGAAGGGAGGAAGGAAAAAGAGAAGGGAGGAAAGGGAGGATAAAGGCAGGCAGGCAGGAAGGGTGGAAGGAGGGAGAGAGGAAGGAAGGAAGGAAGAAGGTAAATGGAAGGAGGGAGGAAGGGGGGAAAGAAAGAGAAAAAGGAAGGGGAGGTAGGAAGTCGATGGAAGAAGAAAAAGGAAGGGCGGGAGGAAGGAGGGAAGGAAGGATAAACGAAGCAGCAAGTATACTTCTCTCTAAAGAAAAACTCCAAGGAATTGTTCCCGAGAAGGACTATTTTTAAAAACAAAATTTTTACGGCTGAACTAAAATCTTCTCTTCTGACATGTTCACTTTTGGGACCTAATTTCCAAACTACAGAATCTTTGGGGGGAGAAAAAAAAAATCCCCTCTCAGCCAATTTCTAGGATTCTGCGTGATTTGATTTCTCGCATCGCCGACGGCAATACGTTAGCCTAATTGAGCTGGAGAAAGACAAGAATTTGCCCCCGAGCAGACCTCTCCCCCCCCCGCCGGTCCTTATTTCCTATGTTGCGAGACGGCAAAACCTCTCGCACGCGCACCGATTGATCGGCACCTGGGACTCGAACAATGGCAACTGAAGAAAACCTCCAGGTCTCTGAGGCGCTTGGGGCGCCATTAACTCGACTTGCAAAAAGATACCCTCGAAACCTAAATTAATTAATTCCCAGATTTTGGCAAGGGAGTTGCAGCCTGGGCCAGGGGCTGTGAAGCTTGGCCATTGTTTCAAAGATTGTGGGGCCAGGACAGCCCCGTTGTAAGATAAAATGATTTTGCACCACAAAAAAATAAAAATAAAAATAAAAATAAAAAATTACCTACGATCCTTTCTCCTTTTCTTTTCTCCACCACAACAACCTTGTGAGGTGGGCTGGGCTTAAAGAGATTCATTCATTGGTTTAGCTGGCTTTCTGGCCTAAAGTAGGACTAGAGATCACAGTCTCCTGGCAATTAGCCCTGAAGTCACCTAGCTAGTTTTTATGCCTAAAACAGAACTAGAAATCACAGTCTCCCAGTATTTGGGCCAAAATCAACCAGCTAGCTTTCAGGTCTATGGCAAGACCAGAACTCACCGTCTCCTAGTGGTTGGATGAAAGTCAACCAGCTAGTTCTCATGCCTAAAACAGAACTAGAATTCACACTCTCCTGGTGATTGGCCTAAAGTCTCGCAGTTAGCTTTCATGCCTAAATTGGGACTAGAACTCACTGTCTCCTGGTGATTGGTCCAAAGTCATCCAGCCAGCTTTCATGCCTAAGGCAGGACTAGAACTCACCGTCTCCTAGTGATTGGTGCAAAGTCAACCAGCTAGTTCTCATGCCTAAGACAGAACTAGAACTCACACTCTCCTGGTGATTGGCCTAAAGTCTCGCAGCCAGCTTTCCTTCCTAAATCGGGACTAGAACTCACTGTCTCCTGGTGATTGGCCCAAAGTCATCCAGCCAGCTTTCATGTCTAAGGCAGTACTAGAACTCACCGTCTCCTAGTGATTGGCGCAAAGTCAACCAGCCGGCTTCATGCGCAATATGGAACTAGAACTCGCTGCCTCCTGTTTTCTTCCCCGATGCCTTAACCACTAGGCTTAACCCTTCTTACTGCCTCCCTGTGATGTCACAGCGGGTGCATTAATTAATTAAATTCATACTTCCCCCCCCAACTCTTGCTTTTGTCTGCCCTTTTAAACCCCCGCCCCCCCAAGACCATGATCCCATGCTTTGCTGGGCACGATGGGTAGTAGAAAAAGCATGCTTGATGGCAACCCCAGCGAGATCGTGCCATCGTTGCTCAATGTCTCTTTGGCTCAGCCAAGTTGCTAGTCCTCATGCAGTTGACTGAGAGACCTGCAATTCTGTTGAGTTGTCAGAGCAATGAAAGGGGCGGGAGGCGGGACCCGGGAACCTTGTCAGGAGATGCCGCAAGTTGCTAGACCTCACTTCAGGGGGGGGGTGCCAATCCGAGAGGGGCATTATGGGGGAAAGCGCCAACTTTTCCCATAATGCCCATCTCCTTTGGGCAACCTCTTTTCTGCAACCTGTTCCGAAAACCTCTCGCTTCTTCCTCCTGCTGCAACCTGACCACCATTGCTCATTTGTCTCGCTTTCCTGGTTCTCCATTTCAGGCGCTTCCCGTGGTCTGTAGGTTGCCATGGCAACGCAGCAGGCCGCTGGCTCCATCCTCCGGCCTGCTTACTCCGGTATCAGGCCGCTATGCCATCGCCTCGGATTACAGAAACCTTTCTTTTTCTCTCCACCCCGTGGGGAGCCAGCTGAAGACAGGGCCTCCTTTAACCAGGATTTAAAGCTATCATAATAAAAACAAAGCCTCCTCGGAAGCTAAGGAGAGGGAACCGGTGCATGGACAGAGTGCTTTTTTCCCTGCCTTTTAAACATCCTGCATTTGCAAACTGGAAGAATCCAGACTCGCAAATCTGGGGTGTGAACCCCATTCCAGGGGTTCATTTGAATCTGGGGCAGGGTCCCCGGAAGCTGCCTGCCTCAGCCTGCTCCCGAAACCCACTAGCCTCTGAGCATGTGAAGAGAACCTTTCCGAGCAATACGCACCTAGATCTGTAGAGAAAGGTTGAATGGTAGAACCTCTGAATTAACGCAATAATGTTAATTTCTTTTTCTACCAATAATGGCTTAATTCCAGTTTGTAGAAGGAGAGGATCGTAGTTTCTAAAAACTGTGGCTCTTATAATCTGGGGTCTATTAAACCAGGGGTCTCCAACCTTGGCAACTGTAAGACTTGTGGATTCCAGCTCCCAGAAACTCTGGTTGCCAAGGTTGGAGACCCCTGTTTCCTATTTATATCAGGGGTCTCCAACCTTGGCAATTTTAAGACTTGTGGGCTTCAACTCCCAGCAAAGCTGCTTGAGGAATTCTGGGAGTTGAAGTCCACAAGTCTTAAAATTGCCAAGTTTGGAGACTCCTGGTTTATATTCTGTCAGGTTACATATTTGTTTCTCTGTGTCATGTAATATATGTGGGCCGATGCATAATGTTGTATTTCTTTATTTTGCCATGTTTATGTTGTGCATACTGGAGGGGGTGACCTTTGAGAGCTGTATGCAATAAAATTTCATTTTAATGCATGCCGATGAGTTGTACATTCGAAGTGACAATAAAGTTATTCTAATTCTAAGGTTGGTGCTGATCCTTAACAACTCCATAAACAAACAATAACGTAACGAAACAAAACGTAACACAACATAACACAACACAACAAACATAACATAGCATACATAACAACACAAGAGCCTTGGTAGTACAGTGGTCTAAGGCACCCTGTTATTAAGCTGGTTATTAAGACCAGCTGTCTGCAATTACTGCAGGTTTGAATCTCACCAGGCTCAAGGTTGACTCAGCCTTCCATCCTTTCTAAGATAGGTAAATTGAGGACCCAGTTTGTGGGGGCAATAAGCTGACTCTGTATAAATATACAAAAGTATGAAGGCTATTGCTTAACGCATTGTAAGCCGCCCTGAGTCTCCGGAGAAGGGCGGCATATAAATCAAATTAAAAAAACAACAACACAACACAACACAACATAACACCACAACACAACACAACACAACACAACAAACATAGCATAGCATACATAACAACGTAACATAACAACACTACACCACTCCAGACACAACACAACACAAAAAGCCTTCCGCCGTGCCCTTAAAACCTTCTTTTTCTAGCAAGCCGGTCTGGCCTAACACTTTTTAAAATGTTTTTAATTGTTTGTTATTGTTTTTAATCATGGGGCCAAATTTATATATATCTTTTTAATTGTATTTTAATGTTTGTAGTTTATGCTTTTACTTGGCTGTTCACCGCCCTGAGTCCTCAGGGAGAAGGGCGGTATACAAATTTAAAAACAAACAAACAAACAAACAAACAAATAAATAAAACACAACAGAACACAATACATAACCAATATATTAATATTCTAGAACAGTATTTCTCAATCTGTGTCACTTTAAGAGGAGTGGACTTCAACTCCCAGAATTCCCCAGTCAGCATGGCTGGCTAGGGAATTCTGGGAGTTGAAGTCCAGGCCTCAGACTGAGAAACATTGCTCTGGACTGCTCTGTAAAACGACATTGGATTCAAGGGGGTTATTGTAATCATATTGACAACTTTGCAATCAATTCTAGCCAATCTCGTATTGCAAGCTTCCCGACCTCTCCCAGACCCGCTGAAATATTCATCAGCGCCCCGGCCCCCATATCATGTAGCTACCACCCCCACCCCCTGTTATAACTAACAGCGTAGAATGGATAGAACCTCCACTGCCAGAGGCAGTCTGTCTTAGATGGTAGCAGCCGATCGCTAGGAAAAGTTCCAGATGTCAGATGCCACAGAAAAGTTACTAAAAATGGGCAGCGTTGAATTACCTCTCTCCGATAAACAGAGTCCGGTTGATGGTCAGCATCCGTTGAATATGGAGGCGCTCGGCCCCGCCGTCTTGGCCGGCAAACCGGCCGAGTCCGTTGCCCACGAACACCGCATATTGCTTCACGTCTGCGGGAAATCAAAGGAACGACGGGTGAGAAGTCACAGGTAGTTCTTAACTTACGACCACAACAGAGCCCAGCATTTCTGAGACCGTTGTTAAGTGAGCTTTTTGCCCCATTTTACGGCCTTTCCCACAGCAGTTGCTAAGTGAATCACTGTAGTTGTTAAATTAGTAATCCAGTTGTTAAGCGAACCTGGCTTTCCCCTGGACTTTGTCAGAAGGCCGCAAAAGGGGTTCATGTGACCCCCGAGACACGGCAACTGTCGTAAGTATGAGTCACTTGCCGAGCATCTGAATTTTGATTATGTGATCATGGGGATGCTGCAACGGTCGTAAATCTGAAAACCAGTCGCTGTTTTTAGTGCGGTTGTAACTCCAAAGAGTCACTAAACGAACTGTTGTAAGTCAAGGACTACTGGTATTGGGCACTTCCCAAAGGAATCCTGGTCTAGTTATCCAACCTCAGGATGAGGAAAATCCAAGGTGCTTTTTGATGAGTGTAGGATCAAGGTCTGGATTGAAATCACTGCTTCCCCTCCATGCAAAGTTGTAATAGTCTGTGCGAATGGCCTTGGGAGACAGGAGGAAGAGCTGGAGATAAGGCAACAATTGGATAAGAGGCTGCTGGGACTGAATGGAGGGGTGGATAATGTCTTAGGGGCGGGGTGGGCTTCAACAATTTTAGCAAGGTGTTCTCTGCCAGGTTGCTGGGTGGGCATGGCCATGGTGGGCATGGCCTAGACGGCCTCCTGTACCATGGTGCGGGGGGGGTGTCTTTCTGCCCTCCCCAGGCTCCAGAGCCTTTTCTCGAGCCTTCGGGAGGGCAAAAACGGCCTCCCCAGGCTCCGGAGGCCCTCTGGAGGCCAGAAATAGGCCATTTCCAGTCTTCCCGAACTTCCAGTATGCCCGTTTTTCGCTCTCCCCAAGCCTCCGCACATGCCCTGCACTTACCTGCATCCAAAACGGGCCGCGTGGGGACTCCTGGGAGGGGCGGGATGGGAGGGACCAGCCAGGAGTCAGATTTGGGGGTTCTCCGAACTGCACAGAATCTTAGCTAGAGGTTCTCCTGCGAAGTCCCAACAGCCCACCCCTGCTTGGGGGGGACGGGACTCTCCCTAGTTTCTTGGGGTGCATAGGTCATGGGGGGGTACTTTCAGATTTGCAAGATTCTGTTAATGTCCCCAGTTGGAAAACCCCCCAGATGGCAAAACCTCTCCCACCAGGGCACTTACAGTCGTCCAGAGCAATGCTGATGGGCCCAGATTCTTCGGGGAAGTGGGCACGAGACGTCCTCTCTAGCAGCAGTAGGAAGACGAGAGGCAGGCAGGCGGGGCTCATGGCGTCCGTGCGGCGTGCCCTTCGCACCCCTGAAAACTTTCAAGGATATTAAGAATATTAAGCCGTTAGGCCAAAGAAACTCAACATTACACCACCGTATCGCTTGGGGAAGAAAATCCAAACCCAAATAAAGACAGCTAGCATCTGAATAGCTTGAACCCCGGGCCGCACCGCGCACCTACGCTTGTCTTGCCTCCCCCTTCCTCTTTCCCTTAGCGCTTGGTTGCGAGAATGAAGATGCCAGTTGCCAAGATAGATCTCCCCTCGGATGACCCCCTGTGTCCGACCAATTTATCATCCGATTTCTACTTGCCTTCCGGTTTTCCGTTGAATTCCACTGGGAAAGTTTTTAAGCTCACTTGGTTCGATGGAAGTGAAGAATAGGGGTCAATTCTTTTTATATCTATCTATCTATCTATCTATCTATCTATCTATCTATCCATCTATCCATCCATCCATCCATCCATCCATCCATCCATCTATCTATCTATCTACCTACCTACCAGGGGTGGGTTCTAATTTTTTTTTACTACCGGTTCTGTGGGCGTGGCTTATTTTGCGGGCGTGGCTTAATGGTCATGTGACAATTCTTTAGGATTTAGCAGAGGTACTGGTCTACCAGGCTTTTAATTGCTTGTAGAGCTGTACCAATCTACCTATTTGTTCTTGGAGCGTCCTGGTCTACCCATTTGTACACTGCCTTTTAACACTGATCAGCTGTAGGGCGGCCCTTTGAAGCCCTAGCGGCAAGAGTTTAAACAGTTTTTTTCCTTCCAGCCGATCAGCTGGGACTCAGGAGGCAGCGAAAAATTGGGGGCGGGGCCAAATAAAAGGTAAGAATAATGCGGGCGGGGGGGAGGTGGGAGGGCCCAGCTCCCAAACAAAGAGAACCGATTCAGTGACGGCCTATCGTCACCATTACCGGCTCAGCCGAACCGGGAGGAACCCACCACTGCTACCTACCTACCTACCAGTGGTGGGTTCCTCCCGGTTCAGTCCAGTTCGGCCGAGCCGGTAGCGGTGACGATATGACGTCACCGAACCGGTTCTCCCCCCCGCCCTCGCACCCACCCACCCACCCACATTATTCTTACCTTTTATTTGGTCCCACCCCCAATCTATTGCTGCCTCCAGAGTCCCAGCTGATGACTAGAGGGAAAAAAACTGTTTAAACTTTTGCCGCGGGGCTTCAAAGGGCCGCCCTACAGCTGATCAGTGTTAAAAGCAAACAAATGAGTCGGGTCGTACGTGCGAGGACTGGTCGTTAAGTGTGAGGACCTTCCAGAAATAACTCTGACCAGCTAGCCACGCCCACCTAGTCACATGACCTCCAAGCCACACCCACAAAATAAGCCACGCCCACAGAATCGGTAGTAAAAAAAATTTAGAACCCACCCCTGCTACCTACCTACCTAATTAATTTTCTATTGTTTACATTTGTTAGTGCTTTATAGACATCGTGTTGTCTGGATATTTAATTTGCTTAACAATAGAGATTACATTCTTAATCTCCACCCCTTTTTCCCAACCACTAGTAAAATAAGTTCCATGTCTGAGAATATTCTTTCTGTTTAATTTTCAGTATAAGTCTATCCATTTCCGCACAATCTAGTATCTTCCCAATTATCTCTTCGTCTCGTGGCGTTTCTTTATTTTTCCAATATTGGGCGCATTTATATGGAATATAGAATAACAGAGTTGGAAGTCTTCTAGTCCAACCGCCAGCTCAGGCAGGAAACCATACACCACTCCAGATAAATGGTTATCTAATATTTTAATAACTTCCAGTGTTGGAGCATTCACAACTTCTGGAGGCAAGTTGTTCCACTGGTTAATTTTTCTAACTGTCAGGAAATTTCTCCTTAGTTCTAAGCTGCTTCTCTCCATGATTAGTTTCCATCCATTGCTTCTTGTCCTGCGTTCAGGTGCTTTGGAGGATATAATCCTCGCTTCTGTTAAGACATGCAACGTTAAATATCTACTTCGTTTATCAAGTTTTTCTGGTATTACGCATTATAAAAAACAGTTCAGGTTTAAAATCTATATGTTTCCCTATCATCATTTCTATCCACCTATGTACTTTTGCCCATTTTTATTTATTTTTTTTGCTTTTACACAAGTCCCACCACATATGATAAAATGTGCCAGTTTTTCGGGTTACATTTCCAATTCCGATATTGCTGTTTTCTAGGAGTTAGCCTTGTTGGCCGTAAATCATGATTTTCAGCTTGGTGTACCCCGGGGCCAAAATAGCATCTATCCGGAAAGGTGTATAAATACCCTTTTCATTTATGCATAAGTAAGAAGTAAGTTTCCCACAGGTACAAGGTGGAGAAATCCTTAGAAATGGGAGAAATAACTTTATTCTACTCTGTTGTGGCTCCGTTGCCTGAGCCTGGGCTATCAACAGATGCAGACTCTGAGAATGAGGCAAGGCCTCCCTCTCCAGGACCCTCCTCTCTGGCAATGCCTCTGGAGGACACCGAAGGCCAAAAGATAGGCTCAGAGCCAAGCACGTCCCCGCAGCCACAGGTGGACAGCGACAAAGGAGATAAGTGCTGGCTGGACCCTCGGCAGAGGTGCAGGGAGAAGCATGCACAGCAGAGGGGAAGGCGTGCCAGAGATTAGCTGAGTCACTGGACCACACCCCACAGGGTATAAATGTGGGTGTGGTGGCTGGTTCAGTTTGTGACGAGCAAAAACTAGAAATAATTCATGATCTCTGCGTTACTGGACTTTGCCTGCTTTATCGAACTGCATTTGGATTAATCCTTATACTGTTGACACACTGCCTGTTTTATTGAAATGCTGGCAGTCTAATCTTTGTTTTGTGTGAGTAAAGTCTGAATTGGCAGCTAGCCACTGGGTTGCTGCCAGCTTTATTTTCAAAGAACTTTGTTCATGTGGCTTATTAACTCCGGGCCGTCTGTGGGGGTGCGTGAGTGGAACGGGGACAGAACATACTCCTGCTGGCCGAGGAATTCTGGAAGTTGAAGTCCACGCACTTTAAAATTGCTAAGGTCAAGAAACACTACCCTATAGGTAGCCCTTGACTTACAACAGTCCATTTAGGGACCGTTCAAAGTTACGACGGTCCTGAAAAAAGTGACTTATGACCATTTTTCACACTTACGACTGTCGCAGCATAGAGTGGTGCGGTGGCCTAGACGTGGCGCTCTCGCCTCACAATCAGGAGGCTGTGAGTTCGATCCTAGGTGGAGGCAGATATTTCTCTCTCTGGGCACAATGAGAATATATCTGCTGGATATAACTCCGCACTGGCAACAGGAAGGGCATCTGGCCAGTAAACGCTCTGCTCCATTCAGTTGCCCTGGCTCCACCCCGCAAGGGATTATGGGGTCATTAAAAGGAGATGATAATGATGATGATGATGATGATGATGACCGTCGCAGCATCTCCGTGGTCACATGATCAAAATTCAGGTGCATGGCCACTGACTCATATTTATGACGGTCGCAGCATCCCGGGGTCATGCAATCCCCTTTTGCGTCCTTCTGACAAGCAAAGCCCATGGAGAAGCCAGATTCACTTAACATCCATGTAACTTAAAAACGGTAATGATTCACTTAACAACAGGTCGTAAAATGGGGCAAAAGTTGCTTAACTGTCTCATTTAACAATGAAAATTTTGGGCTCAAATGTGGTCGTAAGTCGAGGACCAGCTAATGCCACTTATGCGGGGATGCCAACACACATGTGCCTCGTGTCCCCGCATGTAACTCGGTTTGGATGAAAAAAAGGGTCTATTTTTAAGAACACCAGCAGAAGCCCTGCCTGGAAATATATTTTAAGATATCAATTTAGAAGTTAGCCCCATTAAATTCGTTGGGACCTATTTTCCTCCAAATGAATAATTAGCGGTTTGCAAATTCCTCCTTTGCAAAATCACTGGCAAGTCATCTGTCAGTCAAAAGCAGGAGTGGGAGACACGGAGGGCCATCTGTTATTGCAGTGATGGATGGATGGATTGCATGCCGTCACGTTTTTTAAAAAAGATTTTTTGTTATCCCGCCTTTATTCTTGTCAGGAAATAATTATAGGTGGTGAACATCTCTAATGCGCCTTCTGCCTCCCAGCTTCCCCACAACAGTCCTGTGAGGTGGGTTGGGCTGAAAGAGAGCGACTGGCCCAAAGTCACCCAGCTGGCTTTCATGCCTAAGGCAGGACTAGAACTCACCGTCTCCTGGTGATTGGACCAAAGCCACCCAACCAGTTTTCATGCCTAAAGTGGGATTAGAACTCAGTCTCCTTAAAGTCACCCAGCTGGCTTTCATGCCTAGGGCAGGACTAGAACTCACCGTCTCCTGGTGATTGGCCCAAAGTCACCCAGCTGGCTTTGATGCCTATACTGGGACTAGAACTCACACACTCCTGGTGACTGGTCCAGAGTCACCCAGTTGGCTTCCATGCCTAAGCTGAGACTAGAATTCATCATCTCCTGGCAACTGGCTCAAAGTCACCCGACTGGCTTTCATGCCTAAGGCAGAACTAGAACTCACACTCTCCTGGTGATTGGCCCAAAGTCATCCAGCTAGCTTTCATGCCTAAATCGGGACTAGAACTCACCGTCTCCTGGTGATTGGCCCAAAGTCATCCAGCCAGCTTTCATGCCTAAGGCAGGACTAGAAGTCACAGTCTCCTAGTGATCGGAGCAAAGTGACTCAGTTGGCTTCCATGCCTAAACTGAGACTAGAACTCACTGTCTCCTGGCAACTGGCCCAAAGTCACCCAAGTGGATTTCATGCCTAAGGCAGGACTAGAACTCCCTGTCTCCTTGTGATTGTCCCAAAGTCACCCAGCCGGCTTTCATACCTAAAGCTGGACTAGAACTCCCTGTCTCCTGGTGATTGTCCCAAGGTCACCCAGCTGGCTTTCATGCCTAAGGCAGGACTAGAACTCATCATCTCCTGGTGATTGGTCCAGAGTCACCCAGTTGGCTTCCATGCCTAAATTGAGATTAGAACTCACCATCTCCTGGCAACTGGTCCAAAGTCACCCAGCTGGCTTTCATGCCT